CTGGTGATCTATTGGACACAGCCATTTGCAGAACAAGAACCAGCCAATGAAAAACGTCTATTGCCGATGCTATTGCTACAACCACAACTGTGACAAATGCAATATACATGTTAACCCTTTAAGCGCCAAAGTCGCAATATTGCGACAAGCAACATTGCTCAGTTAAACAGGCTGTATCTAAAAATGTGGTGCAGAATCTTGTTAATACTTTTCACCAGGGGTTAGTGGACATGTGTGCCTGTAATATGAGCAACATTTGTGGGTGTGGTTATATTGAAAGTTTTTGAGTAAATTGAGTTCGTAAAACACCTGCGGCGCAGCGGCGCGGAGGCGAAGCAGCAGCGGTAGAGCTGAGAGGAGCGAGAGCAGAGCAGAGGGAAAGAGTGTTTTTTCTTTTACTCACGAGGTCTTCAGTACCAGAGAAGTACTTGGTCTGGTACTGGCTCACTCAGATTCAGAGGAGGAAGACACGCAGGTGTCCAGTGAAGCAGACACGGACATTATTGGTGACGGGGAGACCGCGCTCCATAGTCCACAATCAGCCCCAGTACAGCGGCTGCTTGTCCTCCGTGTGGCCGCGGTAGAAGCATTCTGTGAACGCCAAGCAGGGGCCGTGGTGGAGGGGACAGGGGGATCATAACACCGGGCATGTGGGAGAAAGTAGTGGGGGTAGACATCCACGGGGAACACGGGAGGCGCGCGAGAAGTTGCGGGGGAGCCGCGGGAAAAAAACACATCGCTAATTGCGTTCACTGCCTTTACCAACAGTGATGATGAGGATGAAGGCAGTTCTTGAGAGAAAATAATCCACAAAAGTGGATCAGAAGTGTTGAAGAGCCTGTTGTATGTTGTTGAGACGATCTGACAAGTTCTGAGCCCATTCATTTCATCTCTCTGTTTCTAAACGGTAAATCCTGGAGCCTCATTTCCACTGAGAAAAATAGTAAGCCCACTACTTCTCTGAAAGGGAAATATTGAAACCAATCTCAAGATTTCATGACTGTAAACTATAAAGAGTGCTGTCTTGATCACTGAAGGTCTTTGAAAATAATACAATTCCATATGGCCGCGAACCAGTGCTAAAACATTATCTATAATCTGGATCAGGGAATTTATTTCTATCCCAAATTCATTTCATACTAAAGATATTTCACATTGACTGTTTATAGTATTCCCTGATCTCAAATAACTCCCAAGCTACAGCTTTTTGAAGTCTTTATACAATAATTAACATTTTCCAAAATGGCCGCCACCTTGATGACATCACAATATGCAAATTAGATGACGAATCAACTTCCATCCCAAAGTTTGGTTCAAACTGAAGATATTTCTAATTTACAGTATGCCTTTATCTCAAACCATTTTAAAGTTATAGCCTTTTGAAATCTTGAAATCAAAATTGTATATTTTCTTAAAAAAACTCTGGCGCCTAAAGGGTTAAGTATTCAGACATCTGACAGACAAAAACTTTGAAAATGATAAAGTATGAGTATTGTAGCGTTTTAGTAGATGTTAAATAGTAGTAAAAAAGTAGAATTGTCCTTCCTTTGTTTTTCATAAACATTTCCACGTAAGAGTTAAAATAGTACCATACAATGTTATCCTTCTGATAGAGCAGCTAGAATATTAGAATCAGAATAATGTTACAGCCATTAACACTAGGACCGCCGTGCTCTAAACATACCTTGCACCGCCCCCTGCGGTCAGTTGACCGCTATGTATTTTGCGCTGATACAGCCTTTTGCCAAATTGATTGTTCACTAAACCAGAATTTGTTGTTGCAAGGAAATCGTGATCATAATGAAACTGTGTAAATTATTTGTCTAAATATGCTAAGTAATTGTAATTCCAGCCAAAATAAAAAAAAATTACGAAGACTTTTCTGGCTAGATTTATTTTGTAACTTTGCAAACACGTAAAAGGTCGGTCACTATATGTTAAATTTGACTCAGTAACAATATGTCAATTCAAACAATATAAATGATAGTTTAGAAAAGCACGGGACCATAACGTCTTCGCGCTGCTATATGCGTCTACTTCTTACGTCATCTCCAGACTGTTTTCTCTTTAGAGGCCGAAATCACTGTGGGAAATATTATCTCGATAATAATAATAGTATTCGTATTGACACAAGATCATCAGCTAGGCTACCATCGTCAATGTACAATCTTCAATTTTACACGGGACACGTTATATATATATATTTGTATTTATTTGAGACAAGCAGTGCTCTTTATGATCAGAAGAAAATTATAATCATTGCCTTGCAGTGCGCGCTGTGCAGAATAACACACAGTGTTATCTGAATGAAATAAGAAAGATATCCTTATTGATATGATGAGGGCCGCTTCTGACCCACAGTCGCTCTCCTCCTGCAGGTGTCCGCGGGTGACGAGAGGCCTCACAGCTCTCCATCTGCACTCTGCCTTGATAGTTCATCTAATTGTTCTATTTTATTGCGATATTGTATTCTGCTTTATTGCCTTCTTCTATGTATAAATATAAGAATGTAATTGATGATGAATGAAAAGGCAGAATGGAGCAACAGCGCGCACACAGACACCTGCGTATGGCTGGTATTACGCGGGTCATGTGCGTTATTGCTTCTGGACTTGTTCCAACACTGCTGTCCGTGCCGTGAATGCACTACGGGTTTACGTTCAGATTTAGAATATTATAAGTGTTCTCCCCGCTGTGACATCTCACCTCCGTCAGACTGTTCTCATTCAATATCTTGAAGCACTGTCTGGGCTTCATACCGTGTACTTGCAGCTCTATTCATGTTGTACTCCTCTCAATTCAAAACTCTTTCTCTCTCCCAAATAAAAACCTCAAGTCCCTTTAGAGTCTAATGACAACATATTGATACATTTGTATAAGGCGCGAAAAAACCCCGGGAAAGGTTACTATGACAACAGTCGCCCCTGCGCCATGTATCCCTATGGGGCAGCAGAAATGGCTGTGGTTTAGAAAAGTTAAAATGCGTGTAAATCTTGTTTTCTTTACTTTTTCCAAAAACAAAACACACCAAAATATAAACAACAAGTACCCAGTAAAAGTCATAAAATTTCAACTTCTGGCGTTTTGTTTTGAATACACTAATTAGCATATTAAAGTGAGTGACGGTCAGATGACCGCTAGGGGCGCTCCTAGTGTTAAAAGTGACAGAAGTCACAAACTAGAAATACGCCTTGACTCAAGCTGCAACCGAGCTTTGGAGCCACAATAGTGTAGAAATAGGAATAGATAAATGGATCAACCATAGATGCTTTCAAAAATAGAGATTATTTGTAGCCAGTGCTAATATCAAATGGTAAAGGGACCATTTCACAAACATTTACTTCAGAAGTAGATAAAGTTACTTACAGTTTTATGTACAGTTTTATTAGATACTTGTCAAATTAACTTGTGTTCAAACATGAGTGAATGTAGACAATGCAAAAAGTTCATATGAGTGTAGCCTAGATTAATGTAGCATCAATGAGATAGATTACAACCAACAAAGATTCAAAAGCATCTTTGAGAAGTTAAAAAGCTGATTTGCCAGCACAGATTAGAATCAAACACCATTGTAGAATAACTGACCCCAACCCCAAACCTGCTAAAATAGATTAGCTCTTGTAAGGATAATACTAATTTGATTAAAGATGTACATTCATCCCAAACTGCCTGAGAGGAGGAAGTGACAGCACTTCCTGGTTCAACAAATGTATTTGGAAAACTGACCGCCATAATAATGTTCATATTAACCATTTGTCTTTCTGTGTTCAGTTTTATTCCTGAGAATGTAGAGTAGACATAGAGCAAAATTCAACTGATAAAGCCACTGATAATGAAAGTAAACTACAGTACAGAGAGATTTATTAGATTAAAATGTATGTTTAAGAATATGGCTCAATATAAGCAAATATGCAAACATATCTGTAAATAGATTAGAATAGTTTTAAACTATAGTGATAATGAAAGTAAAGTACACAGTCTAAGATTAAAAAGTGATAATAATACAGTGAAATAAGTGAAGTGTAAACAATTATCATTAGAATAAAAGTATAGAGTAATAAAAGTGAAATTAGCTTCTAATTTGAGACTCAGCTCGTTTTTGTGTGTGTTTTGACTGAATCTGCTGAGTTCTTGTGTGTCCAATACTGTAGTGTTTGTTTTTATTTTTTATTTGTTTTTGTTTGTTTATTTTTTCCAGGATAGAGGATAAAATCCACTGATATTGATTTGATGATTATGAGTTCAATGCATACATTTTCTTTGTTTTTAATACTTTTTTAAAAGTTTTTTTTTAGATTTTTTTTTTTTTTCTTTTTCCACTTTATTGATTGATCAAATTGAGTGATCACATGTCATTATGTGATCAAAGGGGAGGGTGTTAGTATTAGATAGCAATATGGCCTACGTGCAGGACTCTACAAGGAATTTACAAGGACTCCATGTTATGACTATGATGTGACTGTCTCTTTGTGACACGTATGTCTTTCCATGTGTGACGTGACAATGACTATATAAACTGTGTACTGCCTTTATTCTGTCTGAGAGAAAGAAACAAGGTAAACCAGTGGAACTTGAGAGAAACTTAAATAAACTTCCAGAGTTTGGCGCACCACGATCCGTCTCTGTCTGCTAAATCCTGACAGATTCATTCTGCAGATGAGGAACCTGCTCCTCAGCCAAAAAAGAGAGCTCGATCTGGGACTGAAGTGACTGAGACAGCGAAAGATGGCACGGTGTGGCATGAAGAACAGCTGGGGATGCTACTCGATTTCACCCCATTAGAAACTTATGCCGCAGACGGAGAGCCAACAGCTAAGGCCAAAAGTAGCATCACAAGTCGCCTTCAGAGCTTTCTGTGTTTCATTACTCTTGAAATGCTTCGTACCATTCAACAATGGACTATTCAACATGCAACGCAAACGGAGCACGACGATTGGTTCATGGCCCTTCCAGAACTAATGGCATTTATAGCAATTGCCATTTTTCGTGGGCTCACCAAAATGCCTTCACTACGTGACTGCTGGTCTGCAGACCTGGGACACCCAGACATCATTGGAATCATGTCCCGAAACCGCTTCCAAAACATCATGCAACACCTACGCTTTGACGACAAGTTCACCCGCGAAGACCGAGCAAAGACTGATAAGTTTGCTGCAATGTCTGATGTGTGGGGATCGTTTGTCACCAACTGCCTCACTTCGTGCAATCCCGGTCGACACATCACCATTGATGAACAGCTTTTCCCATCAAAGACCCGCTGCTGTTTCCTGCAGTACATCGCTACTAAACCTGACAAGTTTGGGATCAAGTTTTGGGTGGCCTGCGACTTGAAATCCAAGTACATTTGCAATGTCTTCCCATATCTTGGCAAGGACCCCAGTCGTCCCAGCGGTGAGAGACTGTCGGAAACTGTTGTGATGAGGCTGATGGAACCATTCCTGGACAAGGGCAGAAATGTGACCACGGACAATTTCTTTACATCGCTATCACTTGCAAAACGACTGCTTGAACGAAAAACCACCATCCTCGGCACAGTCAACAAGATTCGCCGGGAAATTCCTCCATCTACAAGACGTATGGACCGTAATGAATTCACCACTCAGTTGTTTTCGACCACGGGTGCGACTCTCACAGTTTACACTCCCAACCGGAAGAAGGCTGTCTACATTCTCAGCAGCATGCACAACCTCGTTCAGACGGAAGATACCACCAAAAGGAAGCCAAACACGGTCACCCTCTTCAATACCACAAAGTGCGGCGTGGATATTATGGACCAGATGGTGCGGGAGTACAGTGTCCACTCAGGAACACGGCGCTGGCCAGTCGCTGTGTTCTATAATATGATTGATATGGCAGCATTGAACGCACATGTTCTTTATCAAGCATGTACCGGGAAGCAGGAGAGACGGGTGGCCTTTCTGGTGGCGCTTGCAAGGGAATTGGCTCACTCTCACGTTGGTGCAAAGAAGGCACAAAAGGAAGAAATGCTTCGAAAACAACCCTCCACACCAAGCCCTGGAAAAAGACCCCTGTGTCAGGTGAAACATCAGTGCAAGAAGAATCATGCCTCTGTGCGATGTGTCGACTGCTACAGATACACATGTGGACAATGCAGGAGAGAGATGCCATGGCAGTGCAAGGACTGTGGAGCCTGATGATGCATATACTGTATATATTTTGTAATTATCTGCAGTTTTCTTATTTTGTAGCATTTAAAATCAATAAATCTCACTAACCAAAAAAAAACTGTGTGTTGACCTCTCCCTAAGATGGCAAAGTAAAGTGGTGTGTATTTCACATATGTACTGCATATGCAATAATACAGTACCTTATGTCTCTTTATATAGAACAAACATACAAAAAAGCGTTGTGGTAGAACTCTGATCAATGTAAACAATATAACACACCTCTTCATGAGTGAAAGCTGTAATTCACCTGAGAGCTGCAATGATGTGCACCAATGACTCAGTGTTGTGGAGGAACTATTCAGATCCTCCCCCTCCCCCTAAGATGGCAAAGTGAAGCAACTTCAGCTCAGCCTGTGATAACGGCCCTATTTACATAACAAAGTTGGCCGTTCACAGGGGATTTCGTTTGTTAGCTAAAATCCTTGGGGTCATTTGGCACCGTGGAGGGGATGATAGGTATAAGTGCCAAATGGCACCTCCATGGGAGTGCTAGTGTTACGTGTAGCAATACCATATTTAGAAATATACTTCCCATCCACGGGGCCAACCAACGCATTCACATCCGCTTCTTTGGAACCAGTGCAAAAATCACATCGCGAAACGTGCAGCTGCGAGGCAGCGTGCAAGTGTAGTACCGTACCAAACACAAACTTTAGACACCTTTCACATAGACAACAGTGGGAACAGTGTTTCTCTGAGGCCATGTCCAATCGTAGCCGAGTATTTTAAAAACCGAAGATTTACCCCCCTCTGTTTATAAAATAATTTGCATTCATACATAAACGAACATCTGCGTTTTCAATCACATTCATAACATGCTACGTGTGGGCGGGGCCTTAGTCAGTTCTGTCATTGGGAGGTTTGGAGACAGGTTAGATTTGCAGAGAGCCTGGAAGGAGCGCGGTGCTCCAGTACAATCGGTCCGTCTGAAACTCAACCAGTGAGAAACTATCCGCAAGGCAAGTTTGTATAGGACAGTTCATACACAAGGCAAGTCAAAGTGCTTAACAAAACAAGTCAAAGTGCTTAACAAAACAAGAGGAGAAATATTGAGATCACACATAAATAGTCCATTATAAAGAGAGAAGAAATACAGACCTCTATCCCTATTTTGATGTATACTGGGGCCACTAACCCTAATTTGAGAGGGTTGGGGACTGGAAACATTATTATTTCTCATTACAAGTCCAGTTCAAAATGTATGCTTTGGAACAAACTGATGGAGAGAAAAGTGTAATCAATATAAACAGTGGATGCATTCAGGAAGAGAGTAAATACTTTCAGTGTTACTCTTTACAACGTAAAGTAGTACGAACTAATGGGAGCAGTCCCACAGGAAATCCTCCAGCAGACACTAAGAGAAGAGCAGCAGGTGCAGGAGGTACTGACTGTCACTCACTCGAGGGACCCCAGCATGAATCCTCTGGTCCTGGGGAGGCTGTCTCACTGCACTCCTTCTCCCTCATGCCTGACGGCACCCAGCCGGCTGCTGGCGGAGTCCACTGCATGAAAAGTTAGATTTTCGTCGCCCTAAACGGCAGGAAATCACGCTCTTTTTCGGGTATCTCAGGCAGTTTTCAAAAGGCGCAGTTAGGGTGCCCTGTCCTCCAAACTGCCGTATCCGTACCATGCTAATGTCCCTACTTTGCATATGAATGCAGCGAAACACTGCGGCGGGCCGAGGCTAATGGCCCTAATTAGCATATGAATGCAGCGGCTGGCCAGGCTGCTATTCAGCATTGGTGGATACCACTACTTTCAAACTCGTGATTGGCTGAAAAATCACACGTGGCCAGCCCACGTGGGATTACTCCCCATTGGTAGCTTACTCCCCATTGGATGAAATCACTACTTTCAAATAAATATAATCTCTCGGGATTGGCTAGCAGATCTGTCACTATTGGTCACCCTGCCTCATAATTAATTAAATAATATTCATATAAATATATATTTATTCATATTATTTACAGTGATGGGAATAACGGCGTTACTAGTAACGGCGTTACTAACGTCGTTACTTTTTTCAGTAACGAGTAATCTAACTAATTACTTTGACAGTAACTATAACGCCGTTATCATTTCCGACATCCCGTTACTGCGCGTTACTCAAGACGCACAATGAACGTGTTGTCATGAGAGAAGGGAGGATGAGAAAACCTCTCAGCAATTATTGGCTGATGTAAAACATATTTCCTTTACAATCTACATGTCTACAGTTGAGAGGATGGCTCATAAATTGTGTTTTTGAAACAAATATGGGTCTTAATCGCGCTCAACCACGGCTTGTATCAGCGTGAGGTCAGCCACAGAGGAGCGCATGTGAGCGCAGAAGTCGACTGCATACAATTCCATCGATAAGCTCCTTGCTCTTCCTGGTTTATCTGCTAAGGACAGCAACAGGTTTGGCTAACATACATATAACACATTTTTACATAATCTAAAATGCACATAGGGTAATTTTTCAATTACTATAGGAATGATAAGAAAGAGAGGTGAAGTGTAAGACGGTTGATTTTAGAAATTGGATGCAGCCGGCTGCAGCAAAACAGAGGAGTTTACGGAGGACACACACGTTTTGTTTTACTTTTTAAAACTCATTGGACTCATTTCCAAACGGAGGATTACATATCTACGCTCAAACCATTCACTGGATTTAAACAAGGAACTGGTCTGAACCGAAGTGGACTGTGCAGGTCATTTATAAGGTATAGCTATAAGGTAAGACCCATAACTCATAGTTTTGTGTTTTGTATGAACAAACAATGCGGGCATAAAACATATTTTGCTGTAGCCAAACAAATTGTCCACTTGATTTATATGATGTATATGTTCATCTGATTGGACTGAAGTCAGTGCTTCACCAGCCTCACCGCTCGTCACCGGTGTTTCCACATTCACAGTGGCGGGCTTTACAGCACAGTGAGAGATGAAGAGTGAACAGGACTTCAGCAGCAAAACAGCCTTTTCTAGATGGAAATATTGGCACTGTTAAAGGTAAAAATGCGCACGTCGGGTGCACATTATGTTCCAGAACAAAACGAAAAAGTAACGCAATAGTTACTTTTACTGGTAACTAGTTACTTTTATAGTGGAGTAACTCCGTTAGTAACTCAGTTACTTTTTGGGAGAAGTAACTAGTAACTATAACTAATTACTTTTTCAAAGTAACGTGCCCAACACTTATTATTTATAGAGGAAATGAAAATTTTCCAGGAATATGTTCATACAAAGAAAGCTTTATTAAAACACACACACACAGCTTTATGCTCACACATAGGTAATTAAAAAATTACAACTCTGAACTGTCCAATAGCCTCCTCTGGGTTGTAATTTGGCAGGGTTCTAGATAGACGCTTAATGTGCGTGGCTCTGTACTTCCGTGCCGCCTCTAACCAGGACTGCAGCTTGACACAGAGTTCAGAAAACTCCGGCTTTCGAAAAGACAATCCACCCAGAGACACCGTCCACAACGCCTTCTTCATTAGACATTAGGTCTACCGTGGCGGACTTCCAGAGTTCCACTTTGTCACTTTCTAGCACACTCAGTCTCGATTCCAGCGGCTGAAAGAATCAGTAAATATTATTAGCCACATCAAATCTTTTTTCCCATCTAAACATTGCCAGGATCAAAAACATAGTGTCTAAAGCAGACCTGGAGATTCTTATCCATGCATTTGTCTCCAGTAGGTTAGACTACTGTAACAACAGCTGCAGTACATTCAAAATGCAGCAGCTCAAGTCCTGACCAGAACCAGGAAGTACGATGGCAAGGCAAGTTTATTTGTCTAGCACAATTCATACACAAGGCAACTTGAAGTGCTGAGCAAAATAAGAAAGCATTAAAATAAATAATCACAGTACATTAAAAAAGATAAATATAAAATCCCTCAGTTGTAGCACAGCTAAACAGAACTGTTTTTAACCTGGTTTTAAACATTGTCAGAGAAGAGGCCTGTCTCACTTTAGCTGTGCTACAACTGAGGGATTTTATATTTATCTTTGTTAATGTACTGTGATTATTTAATGCTTTCTTTTGCTCAGCACTTTGAGTTTCCTTGTGTATGAATTGTGCTACACAAATAAACCTCCCTTGCCTTACTGTGCGATGCAGTTTAGTCTTACCCTTTTTCTTCTCGCTCGACTCTGAGCTGAACTCTTCGCCACATCCGCCCTCAATGAGTTTTCTGGCTTGGCATTTTGATGGCTCCTGCGAACCGTCTCATAATAAGTCTTACAGGCCGCTAGAAAACAATCAAAAGAGTGATATGAATAAAAATCAAACGCAAGTCACAGTAACGTCACACAAGGAAGAAACAGTAAAACACTTACACACAATGTCGTCTTTATCAACATGGTGGAAATGTGGACTTATTGTTCACATTGTATTGCAGATATTGTGTTGAGCAAATAGGTCACCGTCTCATTAGGAGGCTTGGTTAGTCTGAAAACAAAGTGTACAGTTATGATTGGTATCTATACATATCCATTTCACTTTGGAGAGACCCAAGAGGGAAAATGCAGTTAGAAGTTTGTTGATTGAGCATGTTTGGCGCCCCAGGCCCGGGAGAGATTCTGTTGAGCGCGGCGCTTGCTCGCACGCATGATCCCCCCCGGGCCTAGGCACTGGTGGCGGCAGAGGCAGTAGGCAACACGCTTCGATGAGAAACGGAGGAGGTGGGGCGGCGGAGGCTTGCGGACTTCAGAAGGCTGGGAAGTGGGTGTCTCCGGCTTTAACTTGCTGTCCTGGTGGTTATTGGTTGATTAGATGTGGGCGTTGCTGGTATGATGAGTCGAGGATGAGCAGGCTTGTAGATCTGGGCAAGCAGCGGCCGGGTCTACCACAGTGAACTTTCGCGAAGAGCTTCATTACCGACACAAAACATGTGTAGATAAACCAATTCAATTTCCATGGATACATTAACAATACTTACATAACCTTTTTGAGAAAATGGATCCTTCAATGAAGAAAAAAGTGTGATAATTCTAAGAGCATAGCTTTCTTTTTGTTTTCGGGAAGGCATTTGTCTAAGGAAAGAAAAACACTCATGGTCAAAGGACTACATGGTTACATAAAAAGGCTAAATTAATAGTATCTACAAGTACATATTTTCACGGGGACCAAACCAAGAGATTATCTACAGGAGAACATCTACCTCGGTCATTTATAAAAGAGATAAGTACTATTTATCTTACAATGGGGAATCAATAACAGTGCTGAGAGAAACTGAATTGTTACGTGATTATTGTGAAAGGTCTTTCAAGTGATTTTCATTTTATTTTGAGTAAATATCCTTCCACTTGTAAGAAGGAACTTTTGAGTAATAACTGAGGGATACAACATACCCATGTGTTTCACTCATGTCACTGACGAGAAGGTCGACAAGTTGTCTTCGAGAGCGGTGACTTAGTGATCTCACAGAATTATAATCTTTAAGGATCTCTCGGTCACCAGGGTTTTCCTGCAGTTCCACCATCTACAAACACGTGGAAAATGTAAAATGACAATCTACAATTGTACCAAAAATCTTATGATACAAAATGCAGCAGTACCTCTTTAGCTGTGTCCTTCTCACACATGTCCTGATTGGATCTCCTTGTAACTGCCACAGAGGATTCTCCTTCAGAATTACCTGTATATTTTACATAATACAACTGTATTTAAACAGGTTTTTTTCTGTATATTTACCAAAACCACCCCGTTATTAAAACTAGTTTTTACAGTAAAAAGTACATGTTTACTACGCTTTTTATACATAATCACCTAATTATTAAAACGATCTTTTTCAGCTAAATGTACAGGTTTACTATGCTTTTTATAAGTTACCACCTTGTTATTAAACAATCTTTTTCAGTACAGTTTACAAGTTTAATGTTTTGTATGTACTTTGACATTTCCCTGAAAAATATTGCACTTTCAACATTGCTTAACTAAAAGCTGCATTAAATGAGTCATTTCACAAAATAAATGAAAATGAAACTTTACTGTATATTCAGTGACAACACTACAGTGCCAAAAGTCAATAATAAGACCGTTTTAAACAAATGTCAAAATATTTCACTGTAAAACACTAATGTCAAATAAAATATTCTCAAATATGCTTATCTTCATCCAAAAATAATTAAAACAAAAGACTTTTTTGGCTTGTATGATGCAATCTGATCCAAGCCATTACGCAAGCCATTTAGAATTTAAACTAAGTTGATTTTTTATGCAGATAAAAAGGAGGACCCATGTTGTGTGGCCGAATAATATAAGGGGCACTTGTATCGCGTACAACTCCTAAAGACTTCTCTCCCGCCCACTTCAGTCAATAGAAACTGTAGAAATAAAAAAACAGCGTGACTAGCTCAGACTGGGGTCAAGCAGTTATTAATTTCCATTTTTTCCTTTTATTGATTGAAGTGAGCATGAGAGAAGTCTTTGAAGCGTTGTGTGTGGAAGTACTCCTCGTATTATTCCGCCTCACAACATAAGTTATTTTTATTCCGCTTAGAAAATCAGTGTGTTTA